GCTAGGTGACAGACGTGTGGGAGTGCATCCTGGTTATTATGGCTCGGATGATTCTGTTGTACTGTGTAGTTAGATAGTCTTGTTTCTATCCGTGTAATTCCTACATGTTAAAGCAATTGAGCGGTGATCCATGTTAGAAATCATGTTAGGGATATATGCTTATTCTATTGGGAGCCAATGAGGTCATTTCTGTTGTTGAGTTATTTGATTAAGTTGCAATTATGTGCTCAGCCATATTTATTCCTTGCGTATCATATCTTAGTCTCTAATATAATTTGTTGTTACATTATGTCATCATTGTTTGGGCTGTTTGGTATGAGATTTGTGAGCCTGGGAGACTATAGAGATTGATGATTGAGTTGGGGAATGAGAGCCTAATTGTGAGTGACATTTATGGGATCGGGTTGCACGCCGCAACAATTATTTATCAGATCGAGAATTACATTGTAGCAAGATTTATTAACTCATTATGGGTTCGGGCTACACGCCACAGCATGCCATGTTGGTTTATTTTAGTGCTTGGTAAAGATCTGCCCCTCTAGAGTCTGACATACCAGCAGTGAGCGCAGGTGTCGTACAATGCCGAGTGATTGAGTGTGCTGAGTGATTGAGTATGAGTGTAAGACAATGAGATTGGGTACTCTGAGAGTATGACTACATAGGTTTATCACTGTGATGCATTACGTGTGTCATGCATATTTGACATGTAGACATAGATATGTAACATTCTTCACGCTAGATATACGTGGCATATTTTATCAGTATTGAGCATAAATTGTTGAAATCGAAAGTATGTCTACATTTATGTACTGTGTACGAACTAATTATGGAATTTCTTTTAGTTATTACCGTCATTTCCCTCTTGTATCTGCACTGTCATTATCTAGATTCGAACTGTACCTTTCTGAGGTCGTCACTACTTTATGCCCAAGGTTAGTCCTGTTACATATTGAGTACATTGGGTCTGTTGTACGCATGCTACACTTTGCACGTTATGTGCAGATCCAGGTATATCTAGACACGGTGGTTGCTAGACTTGGTGCAGTATCTGCTCGGAGACTATTGAGGTAGTTGTTATGACATCCACATACCTCGACTCTCCTCCCTTTCAGTTTTATTCTATATTGTTCTATTTTTCAGACAGTTGTATTTGAGATTTAGACTGTGTTGACACTTAGTAGCTCATGTACTCTGTGACACTTGAGATTTTGGGGATTGTTGTAGTCGATTCGAAGTTGTTCTTATCAATTATTTATGAGAATTTTATTGTTGAACTTATTAAATCATGTTCTTAATTTAAAAATGCTTAGTTATTTTGTGATTATCGACTTTCTTAGTAATGTGATAGGCGCCATCATGATGTATTGTGATTTGGGTCATGACAGATATATTTAAACCCAATAAACCATAATAATAATCTGGAATAAAGTAAGGCGTCAAATAAGATAATGAGTTTATTTTAGAAATCAAATAAAGTAAGATAAAAACAAGTTATATGAAATAGTGTATGAGATAGGCTTAGTTTAGAAACCAATAAAATAAGTAGAAATTTTATGTTTAAACACAGTAAAACATCCGTTAAATTAACAAATTAGATATATAATTAGTTAAAAGTAAAACGTGATGACAACTTTCAAGTATAGTAAACTTTAAACAGGGTAGTGAATATAATTTGAAAATCCAATTAAAGAAAACAAAATGTGATAACCATTTAAAATAGTAAAGCAAAGTGAGTGAGTAAGCTTCAGTTACCTAAAAATTCTCTCTCTAGAATTTTGCTCTCAAAATTCCGCCGTCACTGTAGCGGTGAATAGTGCGCGAACAACAGCTACAGTGCAAACAGTACGGTGAATTGTGCCAAACAGTGCGCGCGAACAGTGATTTCACTACTGTTTCACTCCTACAGTGTAGTGAACAGTGCATCGCTTCACTGTTCATCGCGAAAAGCTGTGAGTTTGAGCTTCAATGGCCTCGATGGCCGGCGACCAGCCATCTTTTCTGGTTGGTATGCCCTCCTCCAACATCGGCCAACCACAAACAACACCAACTATCAATCCACAAACTCTAGATTACTCAAAGATTTTGACACCCAACTCAACCAATCTTCCTGCGATGACTGCTGCCCAAGCTTCAGTGCAACCCATCGCCCAATCATCTACGATAATAAACAACAATCCCCAATCCATGGATTACTCAAAACTTTTAAAACCTACTGCCTTTAATGCCCCTATGCAAACCTTCGCTACACTACCATTGAAATCAGTTGAGTTCCTTCACGGAGAACCAGTTGTGAAGTGTAAGAAACAAGAAGTGAAGCAATCTATTGTACAACAAGGACTTTTACTTGTAGTTTTTGGGAAATTTCGTATGGGAAGCCTGTTATTAGTGAATTACGTAAAGTGATTCTAATTCAATGTGAGATTAAAGGCCATTGCTTAGTTGGTTTAATTAAAGATAATCATGTGTTGATTAGGCTGTGTTTATTAGAGGACAATGTTCATCTTCTTTCAAAGCCAGATTTTTAATTAAAAGCTCAGTCAGACATGTGGCAGATGCGTTGTACAAAATGGAATCCATGGTGGACACCTGATGAAGAGACTCCCATTGCCATTGCTTGGATTAGCTTTCTAGAACTGCCTCCTAATTTCTTTGGGAAGGAATGTGTATTTTCCTTAGCTCGTGCAGTTGATAATCCATTACATGTAGACCTAGCCACTCAAAATTGGACTAGACCTAGTTGTGCAAAGGTGAAGGTGGAAGTTAACTTGTTAAGTAAGTTCCCTCATCGTATTAAGATTGTGGAAGAAGCTGATGAATCTGGACCAGAAGAGTTCAAGTGGATCAGGATTAAGTATGATTATATGCCAAAATATTGCAAACCTTGCAAAAAACAGGGGCATAGTGAGATAGAATGCTGGCTAATTCATCCTGAATTACACAAGAGATTTGAAGAAGGTGTTGAGGAACAAAGCAAGGAGAACGCAGTTGTGGTGAGTTCTGATGCAATTGGGACTGCTGCAAATTCAACAAAGGTCATAACTAGTGGAAAGATGGTTGGTAAGCCTACTACTAATCATACCAAGCAGGAATGGATGCAAGCAAGGAAGAACAAATACCAACGAGATAATAGGGGTCACATTGCTGATAACAAACAAGGAAAGGAAGCTGACAAGGGTAAAGGGAATGCCAAAGTTGAGGAAGTTGCAACCAAGAACAAGTTTAATGCACTAGAAGTTGAGTAAGTTCATCAGCCTACTCTACAAATTACTGAAGGCAAAAGTGAGGATCATAGAAATGGTAAGAAGAAGGAACATGGGGAAAAGCAAGCTAAGAAGGGCCAGGAGAAGGAAAAGAAAGTCAATACTCAAGAGGAACATAAGCGTGTGAAGAAGGAAGCAGTCGAGAAGGTGGTGGAAAATGAGCATAATGTTAACCCTATTCCTTCTGGGATTCAATCTTCAGCTCTTAAAAATGATCAAGAATTAGCTAAGGCTAATTCTAGTGTACCTAGTGATCAACGTACTGATGAAATGGCTAATAAGAAATCCACAATCGACTGGGTTCATAGAAGGTTTGGGACTAGCAATGAGGAACTAAAACAACTCAATATGACCACAAACAAATCTTGTCATGAGATTCCATCCCAAACATTTAAAGATTCTGGGCAGATTGAGGATCTTGATGAGGTAAACTCTACAAAGGTCTTAAGGAGTGATGCAGTTGAGGTTAAGGATGATCAGTGGGGCACAACAAAGACAACAGAAGTCAAGGTGAATAAGGAATACAAGCCAAGCTCACCTGGCGATGCCAGGCCTAAAGCCAGGCTCATCGCGCGTTAGGCTGGCGACGCCAGGCCTAAAGCCAGGCTCCCCAGGCGTTATGGTAGCGATGCCAGGCCTAAAGCCAGGCTCCCCAGGCGTTATGGTAGCGATGCCAGGCCTAAAGCCAGGCTCACCAGTCATTAGGCTGGTGACGCCAGGCCTAATGCCAGGCTCCCCAGGCGTTAGGCTGGCAACGCCAGGCCTAATGCCAGGTTCACCTGATGAGGCAGCTATAGTAAACCCCAAACTTAGTGCAACTGGAGATATATTGGCCCATGTAGATAGTGTTCTGGTATATGCATTGGAGAGCAAACTTGATGGAGACGTTAATGTGAATATTAGAGATGATATAGTGGGTTCAGACCAAATTTCAAGCAATGGTAAGGGTGGTGATCTCACTAGAACAGTGCATTCAGAGCAGACTGCTACAGCAACTCCTGCGCTAGGTAGTGTCTATGAGCTACAATTCAAGGAGTATGAACATGCTGATGAGCGAGAAATTGTTCCAAGAGCATCTGGGGAAATAAAAGAAGTGCCTTTGGAATCTGGCACTAACCAAATTTTGCAGCTACATCTTAATGTTCCACTTAAGACTCCTCTACAACATTTACATGATTTAGTCACACGCAATGTGACACCAATTGATGAAGACTTATTGAGACAAAATCCAATGGAGGATGAAGGAGATGATGAATCAACTGCACAAAATGTCAAACAAGTGACTAGGGAAGGGAATTTATCACCCACAACTAGTGCTAAAGGACGTAAGAAAACTAAGAAGAATAAGAGTAAAGATCCACCATAACCTTCAAGAATAATGTCTAGGAGGGCAGCTTCTCTATCTAAATGATGATGATCAAAACATTAATATGGAAAATAAGGTCTGTGAATACACAACAAGCCTTTCCTAGGGTGATCAACATGAATAGGGAGAATAATTTTTGTGTAGTTGCATTGATGTAGCCTTTTCGAAACAAGGGACTCATTTATAGATATAGAAGGAGGTTGAATATGGAGACTGCTTATGCAAATATTAATGGGTAAATATGGTTGTTCTTCGATGTAGTGGTGGAATGGTAATTAGTGGAGGATACTGAGCAACAGGTGACTGTGAGAGTATTTCACCATGACCTAGGGCAGCACATGATGTTGACATTTGTTTATGCAAAATGTTCAGCAATGGAGAGGTTGGAATTGTGGGATCACTTGTATTACTTGGCAAGTGATATGGAATTACCATGGTTGGTAGGAGGGTATTTCAATGAGGTATTGCATGAAGATCAAAAAATAGGGGGACTTCCAGTACACCCTCCTAAATATGAGGATTTTGCATTTTGTGTAAACTCTTGTGGTTTGTTTGAGCAAGGGTACAAAGGAAGTCGATTTACATGGTGGAATGGGAGATCCAATGCAGAGTATATATTCAAGAGATTGGATAGGAGTTTTGTGAATTTTCCATTTCATAACATGTTTCCAAATATTGAAGTTGAATATCTAATCAGAACTGGATCACATCATGCACTATTGCTAATGACATGTGGGGTGCAGACAACCAATTTTGTCAAGCCTTTCAGATTCTTGAACTTTTGGACAAAGCATGCTACATTTATGGATGTGGTGAGGCAGAATTGGGAAGCTGATTTCATAGGGGATCCGTTTTTGATGTTCAAGAAAAATATCAAGAGGGTGAAGGCAACATCTCAAAATAGAGTAGGGAACACTTGGTGATATCTTCAAGCAATTGGCTATTTTGGAGGACATTGTTAGGGTGAAGGAGATGTTGTTTGAAGAAGATCCGACAACTGAGAATAGGATTGTGCTTCAAAAGGCTCAATCTGAATTAAAGAAATACTTGAGTATTGAGAAGTAGTATTGGAAGAAAAAAGCTGGGATGACTTGGTTTGCTGAAGGAGATAGGAATACAAGTTTCTTTCACAATCATGTCAATGGCAAAAGAAAGAAATTGCAACTGAAGAGGATCAAAAGTGGCAGTGGGGTATGGATTGAAGACCAGGAGCAATTGGCTACAGTTGCAGTGGACTTCTATCAAAAACAATTCACAAGTGAAGGTGATGCTTCTGAATTTTCCTTGCTCAATAATGTACCTATAATGGTCACTATGGTTCAGAATTTGGAACTTAGCAGATTGCCAACAATTAAAGAAGTAAGGGCAGCAGTTTTTGAGCTTAGTGGGGAGAGTGCTAGTGGTCCTGATGGATTCACTAGCCTATTTTATCAAACATGTTGGGATGTTATTGGTTCTTATATACACAACATGGTGCTACACTTCTATGGAGGAGTTGCATTGCCTAAATCCATCACTCACACCAATCTAGTGTTGCTGCCCAAGAAACCTAAAGTTGAGACCTTCTCTGACTTAAGACCTATTAGTTTGAGAAACTTCATTAAGAAGGTCATGTCTAGGGTGTTACATGACAGATTGGAGAGTTTTTTGCCATCTCTAATATCTCCTAATCATTCCGGATTTGTAAAGGGTAGGAGTATATTTGAGAACATCTTATTGACTCAAGAAATTGTCACTGACATAAGGTTAAGGGGAAAGCCAACTAATGTGGTGATCAACCTTGATGTGGCTAAGGCCTATGATAGGCTTGCATGGAAGTACTTATTGCATGTGCTAAGAAAGATGGGATTTTCTGAATACTTCATCAACATGGTGTGGAACTTTTGTCAAATAACTGGTATTCAGTATTGGTGAATGGGCAGTCCTCAGGGTTCTTTAAGTCGACAAGGGGTGTGAAACAAGGGGATACCCTATCTCCAGCATTGTTCATTCTGTCAGCTGAGGTACTTTCCAGGTCTTTGAATAAGCTCTTTGAAGACAAGTCATTTGTGGGATTTGGAATGCCTAAGTGGTTTGACCCTTTAAACCACTTGGCATATGCCGATGATACGATAATCTTTGCATCTGCTCATCCTCCCTCCTTGAGCAAGATTATAGCAGTGTTGGGGAACTATGAGAAGATATCAGGTTAGATGATCAACAAAGATACGAGTTCATACTACATGCATTAAAAGGTTGCTAATGGATTATTTCAGGCAGTTGAAGCTATTACAGGATTTGCAAGAGGTAAATTCCCCTTAATATATCTAGGGTGTCCTATTTTTTACATTAGAAGGAGAAATGACTATTATAAGGATCTTATCAAGAAGGTGAAGGCTAAATTGCATTCATGGAAAGGAAAGTTGTTGTCATTTGGAGAAAAGGCAACACTCATCTCTAGTGTGTTGCAAAGTATGCCAGTTCACATGTTATCGGTCCTTGATCCACCAAACAACATCCTAGGTTCTTTTGAAGCACAAAGGAAGAAGGGAGAAGCAGACACTGGGTTTCATGGCAAAATCTTTGCCTTCCTAAAGAGGAAGGGGGCCTAGGTTTTAGGTCCTTACATGATGTCTCAAAGGCACTGTTTGCTAAATTATGGTGGAGGTTTAGGACCACAAAATCTTTGTGGTCTAATTTCATGTGGAATAAGTATTGCAAGAAGGAGCTACCAATAGTGGTGCATTTTAGGGGAGGGTCTCATGTTTGGAGACAAATGCTGAATGCTAGGGAAGAAGTAGAACATGAGATCGTATGGGAATTGAAGAGTGGAACCACTAATATTTGTCATGAAAATTGGACTGGATTGGGTGCACTTTATCATGTAATACCTGAAGACTTTCCAATTAATGAAGATATTTAGGAGGTGGCAGAATTGCGGCAATGGGAAGTATGGGAAGATCAGCTGCAAGATCAAACATTCAATAAGGAAATTGCAAAACATTTATGGCTAAATATGCATTATGAAGGGAGTGAGGGATATTGGGATAGGCCATACTGGATGCCAACTCTTTCAGGCAAGTTCAGCGTTAGCAGTAATTGGTAAATATTAAGGCATATGGCTGATCCTAATTAGGAATTCAAGTTAATGTGGATTAAAGGTTTGCCATTCAAGATATCCTTCTTCTTGTGGAGATTGTGGGGGCAGAAAATAGCCACTGATGACATGTGGAGGAGGCAAGGGCAAATGGTGATGTCTAGGTATTGGTGTTGTCAGCAGTCCCAAGAGAAATCCATTGAGCATATATTTGTAACAAGTCCTACTTCCTCTAAGGTATGGAACTTGTTCATGGGGGCTACTGGAATTACTGTTCAATTGAAGCAGATTATAAGGCATTGGTGGTATGCTCAGTGTTGTCCAAAATTAAAGCCACTATTTCAAGCAGTACCAGCTATCATCACTTGGGAGCTTTGGAAGAGAAGAAATGCAGGTAAACATGGGGGTTCAGTGTCCACAAATAGGGTGATTCATGAGATAAATAGGACATTGCATCAACTGGCAAGGGTGAGGTATGCTTGGATACCTAATATTCCCTTGTTATGGCCAGACATGATTCAATACTTTGAAGGATATAAACCTATATTGATCACTACAAGAGCAACATGGAAGCTTCCTTTTCATGGTTGGTACAAATGTAATACTGATGGAGCTTCAAAGGGCAATCCTGGACCTAGCTCCCTAGGCTTTTGTGTGAGGGATGATGAAGGTGATATGGTGTATGCTAGGGCAGTAGACCTAGGAGTGACAACTAATGTGGTAGATGAAACTAAGGCTATTCTTCAAGGGTTGGAATACTGTGTGGAGCATGATCTTCACCCTCTCATATTGGAGACTGATTCATTGGTGATGAAGAAGGTGATAGAAGGGGAATGGGATCCTCCTTGGGAAATTGCACAGGACGTGAAGAAAATTATAGAGATGAAGGACAACTTCAATGTGATCTTTCAACATGTGTTCAGAGAAGGCAACCCAGTGGCAGATTTTATAGCGTACATTGTGTTCTCTTTTGTAGGTACATCTGAGTTTCATTCATTCTTTGAACTGCCTAGTGTAGGGAAGAGGTTGATCAATCTAGAAAAATCTCAATCACCTAACCTTAGGGTTAGGATACCAAAGAGAAGAACCCCAGACTGATGGCTTCACAGGATTGGACTCTACACAAACCTGCATGTTTCTTTGTCTCATTCAGTATGCTATTAAGGTACTTTCCAATGGTATTAGCATGGTCCCATGATCATTCTAGGGGTGCTTTGATAGTGTACAGAAAAAATGTGATAAACAGGTGTGGGATGGTACAATTTATGGAGATTGTTGAATCAGTTCTCAGTGGTATTACCATGCTTTCATACTCAATCTGAGGATGGTTTAGCAAGGTTTAGAATGATGTTTACATTAAAGGTTCTAGTAGGGAAGGATCTGAGCTTACAAGATCACAAAATGGCATAGTTTCAAAGCCTGGCCTTTGCCTTGCAAAGCCTGCTTAAAGGCAGCTCATTCCTGGCTTTTGCCTTGCAAAGCTGGCCTAAAGCCAGCTCATGCCTGGCTTTTGCCTTGCAAAGCTGGCCTAAAGCCAGCTCATGCCTGGCTTTTGCCTTACAAAGCCTGGCTAAACCCAGCTCATGCCTAGCTTTTGCCTTGCAAAGCCTTCCTAAAGGCAGCTCAAGCCTGGCTTTTGCTTTGCAAAGCCTGCCTAAAGCCAGCTCAAGCCTGGCTTTTGCCTTGCAAAGCCTGCCTAAAGCCAGCTCAAGCATGGATTTTTCCTTGTAAAGCCTGCCTAAATCCAGGCTCCTCTTCTACACATTAATTTTGATGAGTGAGCACATGATTAATACTTGGACAAAATCAGTCCACCGCATATGGAGATCATATAGTAGCTACACTTGGAAGACTATGCTAGCTTCAACTCTGTGGTGGAGATGTGTGAAATTTATTTTAGCCTATGGACAATATACCCTGGGGCGTGGTGAGAGCTTGATAGGTGCTTCTTAGTATTTGCCAATGACAATTGGAATCGCATACACTTATAGGAGAAGGAAGCATTCAACTTATTATGTTATAATAGCTAGTTCATTAGATTTTAGCTTTTCTATTTTTGTTTGGAAATCTTGTAAGTTTTAGACCCATTTTGGGATTTTATTTATATATTAGCCACTAGGTAAGTGCTGCCGAGTGGTATAGTTGCTTAAAACAAAATAGTAAAGTATCAAGTGATATAGCGAGTTTTATTTTGAAAGTCACATATGTGAAGCACCTTAATAATTCTTTTATTTAGAACCACTAGGTTACCATCAATTCAACCGAATATAGGATACTGACCCCACGCACGTAAATTAACCGTAATAATTAATTTACCAGGAAATAACAGAGGTACAAATTGGCATGTTAAATCAACACACCACACCACGTAGAATGCATGACTCACACAGGAAATCTCAATCATTCCATTACTAGAATACCGGTAGTCAACCATATACTATAAAAATACAAGTGAAATGATTTAAGAAACAACAATAACTGTTCAACTGATAAACTGTTCCAACGGAGAATGAACCATGAGAATCACAACGTAGAATAACTTTACTGTCACAAACAGTTACAACATATCAATATGTTGCGATGTGCAACCCGATCCCACCTATATCATATCAGCCGTCCTTATCGCTCAATATCATATCTTTCTATATCATTTCAATATTGTTGCGGCATGAAACCCGTTCCCCAAACAATATGAATTAAGTAAACAAACTCCAACCAGCTACGTGGTATCACAAAATTATATGAAATAATGAATTTAAACAAAGAAGGTCACAAGCGGATAAATTAGTTACATGTTGACTCATATGTCAAACAGCAGGTAATAACAATTCATAAATAAAGGTACGA